TTTTTTTTTTTTTTTTTTTTGTACTGGGAATCAAACTCAGGACCTTGTGCTGGACAAGCAGGCAGTGGAACCACTGAGCTAAATCCCTGGCCCAACCCAGGGCTTCTTGATCTCAGCACTATTGACACTTTGGGCCATAAGTCATTTAAGTCTTTACCCTGTGCATTGTAGGATGCTTAGCAACATCCCTAGTCTCTAATTAGGTGTCAGTAGCAGTAGCAGCAGTTGTGACAATCAGAAATTTTCAGACACTGCCAAATGTCTTCTGGTAGCTTCTCTAGTTTAGACCCACTGGTCTAACCCTTGGAGGGGACAGCCAGGACCCCGTGGGGATGCCAAAGATCTTCTGCAATAGTGGGGAGGAAGTTTTCCAAAATAGCTCTGTCCCCAGCTGTCTTGAGTTCAGAAGAGTGGGAGATGCCCCCTACTCGCATGGTTCAAACTGCCAGGTTGGAGTAAACCATGCTTGCCTGAGATGGCAGGGTTGTTGGCGTCACTGCTCAGCTGCCCCAGGCTTGGTGCCAACACCTCTTCTGAGGCTGAGTTACCAGGGTGGGGGAGTAGATGAGGTCATGGGGCGACTCGGCTGCCTAGGTGGCCTTCTGTGCGGCCAGTTTGAGATGGGCTGCCAGGATGGGTGATCAGCCTTGTCCCTTGGTACCCTGGTAATAGCTGTGCTGCCTCCCTCGAGGTTGCTGTGGAACTCGAGATGGGGCTGGCCGGGCTCAGAACCTTCGGGCTGACTGCCTGATGGTAGGAGAAAGATTATGGACACAGGTCCAGCGGGGCCAGCCAGCTGACAACTGGGCCACCTGAGCAGAGCTGATGACTGCCCCCTCCAGGAAGGTGGCAGGGAAGATGCTGTGGCCTGGCTCAACGGTGCGAAGTATCCATCCCAGTGCACAGCCCTTGAAACAGGACTGGGAGGGCACTTCCTCTGGAGCGCTTTTCTTTCTGCCCAGGCTTTAGGCCGGCAGAGGAAGGACAGCTCCCTGGTACACAGTCTCACTGCTGCTAAGTCCCTACTTCTGTCTAACCTACATCCTTTCTTCCTAAAACATCAGCCTGACACTGGCCTCCATTCTCTTGCCCTACAGAAACCGTGCCCCACACTGCTGGTCCAGGGGCTGGGCTGTACTTCACTCCTAGGGATGAGAGCTCTCATCAGTGGGGAAATCTCAGCTGCTATGCAGGTGGACGCATGCCTGTGTGAAGGAGGCTGAGGTGCCTATGTGGACAGGGCCGGGGGGATGGAAAGGGGCATTGGTGCCAGACAACAGACTGCCCAAGACCCACTGAACTCCCTGGCACCAGCCTAGGGGGCCCCAGGGTGGGGAGGAAGGAGTGGCTGGGGAGGTGGGCAGCAGCTTTGTAATCAGAGATGGGCCTGGCTGGCTAAAACTGCAGCTTAGGACTAGAGTTTAAAATAGTGCCTGATCAGGTTCAGGTCACCCACAAGGTGTGGCCAGAACCATCCAGCTCAGATTTCTTGCCTTCCTTGATGATTTGGCCGTGGAGAGGGGGCTCCTGAGACAGATGGACCTCAGCAAAGGGGTCCAGGCATCCCGTCACTGCAGTCCCCTACCAGGAACCACCTTTGGTCTCCTCCCCGTGCCCCCCCCATGACACTGACTTGCTCCAGTCAGGCCCTGATATCTTCCCTCCTCTTCAGTAAACATTTATTTAGCACCAAGTGGAAGACAGGCACTGAGCAGAGCGTGGAGATGAGTGAGGCCGCATCCCTGTCATAGCCCAAGCGTGTGCAGGAGGGACAGGGATCAGTGGGCAGGCGTGATCGTGCCAGTGATCTGTTTCTTCCCTGCCCCAGCTTTATCCCAAAAGGTCTAGGCAAGGGGCAGAAACATCCCTGAGGCGTCAGAAAAAGAAGAATATTAGACCTCAGATGAGTTTCCCACCTGAGAACATGAAGGTTACTGCAGTAGGGTGTGGGAGTGTCCTCAAAAGCTAGTGATCTGGTATGGTGCCATACACCAGCACTCCAGGAGGCTGAGGCAGGAGGATTGAAAGTTCCAGCCCACCCTAGGCAACCTAGTGAGGTCCTGTCTCACAATAGAACATCAAAATGGTCCAGGAATGTATCTCTGCGTGAAGACCCTGGGTTCAAACTGCAATAGGAGGAGGGCTGGGGATTTAGCTCAGTGGTGTCACCGCCTGCCTTGCAAGCACGAGGTCCTGAGTTTGATCTCCGGTACCAAAAAAAAAAAAAAGCCCGCCTGAACACCTCTCAAACTGCAATATGGAGCCAAGGTATGGTGGCAAATGCCTGTGATCCCAGTGCTCGGAAGGCTGAGTCAGGAGGATCGCATCAAGATTGAGACCATCCTGGGCTGCATAGTGAGTTCAAGGCCAGGCTGAACTATATATCAAGACCTCATCTCAAAAAGTCAAACTGCAGTATGGAAAAAATAGAATAAAAAAGCTCACACTCCTGGGTTGGATTTTCAGTACCACAAACAAATAATGCTCATTCTCCTGGCCAAGGCACAGGTCTGAAGGTATATTTTGGTAATTCTCCTGTGTCTAAGTAGGGTACCCATTTTCTTTATTTCTTTGTTTTTTTTTTTTGGTATCAGGGCTCAAAACTCAGGTCCTTGTGCTTGTGACGCAGGGAATGGAACCACTGAGCTAAATCCCCAGCTTTTTTTTTTTTTTTTTTTTTTTTTTTTTAGCTCTTCCCTTCTGTTCAAATCCCCTGTTTTTTTTTTTTTTTTTTTTTTTGGAGACAAAGTCTTGCTATATAGTTTGGGTTGGTCTTCAACTCACTTGAACTCCTGGCTGACCTTGAATTCTCGGCTATCTCCCTGTCTCAGCCTCCCCGAGTTGAGTGCTGGGATCACAGGCATGCACCGCCATGCCTAGCAAGGTGCGCATATTCTCAGGCTCACCTGAGGAAGGAAAAACACTTCGACAATGAAAAGCTCTATGTAACCATCATCCCCCTGCTCCATTCGTCCTTGTTTGGGTCCCTGAGTCCCCAGGGCCTGAGGAGTAGGGGCTGTCCCCACTCTGCCCTTTCTTTCCCAGTTGTAATCTGGGTGAAGGGAGGTGGGTGACACCGGAGGCCAAGCCAGCTGAGTGGATCTGCCTGGAGCAGTGGCCGCCTTCCTGACAGAGCTCACATATATCTAAAAAGTCATCTTGTGTATCTTAATGACTTCTCAACAGCCCCTGATTGAAGCATGCCCAATTTAGCCATGCCGTAAGTAACTTTTTATATTTCCTCAGGGAATAATTTCACTTATGAATCTTTTCTGAATCTGCAATCTCGATTAAAAGTTGATGTTTTTTTTTTCTGTCTCCTTGGCTTCTGAGATGCCTCCGTAGTGAAAAGGGTGTCAGCACCATCCATCCTACCTCACTGGCCTGTCTGGAGCGTTCTTCCTGGGTTTGGGGGCCCAACAAGGTAGGGGTCTTAATGGTTTCCTGTCCATATACCCCATATCGAAGGACCCCGTAGTGTTAGTTGGGGGCACTGCCTAGCCCTTCTTCCCTGAAGGCTATCTCCTCACCCCTATAGTTCAGGGATTTTTTTGGTGTGTTTGTATGATGGGCGGGGGTGAGTCAGGGCCTTGCTATGTAGTTCAGGCTGACCTTGAACTCACTACTAACCCAGGCTGGCCTCCAACTCTCAGTGATCCTCCTACCTCAGCCTCCTGTGCGTGCTGAGTGTTGGGATTACAGGAATGTGCCACCACACCCGCAGATCCAATTCCCGCAGTTTAGGAATTTGAGGACCAGGGCTGAATCCCTTCAAGGGCTCTGCTTGGCTCTAGAGCTCAAAATTGGATCAAACCAGTTCCTGTTCAGGTACTGCCGCCGTACCCTGGGGAAGTCACCTTCCTTTCCAGAGCCTCAATTTCCTTATTAGCAAAATAGGAATAGATTGCTAAACAGATTATCTCCCAAGCAGGTAAAGGGTTTCCTAACAGTTTTTGTCCCTTCTGGAATTGAGGTTGGAAAGATGCTGAGGGTCCAATCTCCATTCTGAGCAAAGTCTAGTTCTTCACTGCATTTATAACGTAGTCCTGGTGAGACCCCTGGGGGAGTAGGTGGCATAATTATCTGGAAAAGTTGGGGCTGGGACTTCGCCCAGGGGTTACCCTGAGGCCCATCCAGAGTGTCTGACTCCTCAGAGAGGCAAAGGTCGGGGCTGCAGGGCTTCGGAAAGGAAGGCTGGCGGCCAGCAAAGAGCAGCACTTAAATTTGAGGGAAGGGCCATCCCTGCAGAAACACCCCCACCCCTCCCACTCCAGGTGATTGGGGAAAGGACTTGCCCAGGTGTTGGGACCTCTGCCTCTGACCTCTGACCTGGGGGTATCGCTCAGGCCAGAGTCAGACTGGGGGTGGGGCCCAGGGGATCCAGCGGCAGCTCTGGGAGTTAAAGATTTACAAGGGGCCCCTTCCCGAGGCCTCCCTTCTCCCAGGCCCAGCTGGCAACCCGTGACTGCCCAGGCAGTGAGACACAAAACCAGTCCCACCAGTTCAAAGAGCAGTTCATCCCGGGCCCCCTCCAGCTGCAGCCCGAGCACCCCTTCTCTGTGGAGTCTCAGGGCAAAAGGCAGAACAAGGTCGGGGAGGGGGCCTCTGAGCCCCTAGCCTGAAGAGAGTTTGGGTGATACCCAGCCCGTTTGAGGATCCTCTCCCTGCCTGTCTGGGCCTCCGGGGCCAGATGGGTGAAAGGAGGCTGGGCCCCACCCTCCACCCCCAGCAAGCCTTCCCTGACCACCCCGCCCTAGCCTGCAGGCCTTAGGCAGAGCACTTTCAGGCCAGGCTGGCTTCTCAAAACCCAGAGCACCCCTCCCCCAGGCGCAGGGCCTCTGAGTTTGGGACAAATAAGGCTGTGTCTGCCCCCTTTCCCAAGGCTCCTCCTAGGTCTACCTCCCTCTTCCTGACCCTGAGGGCCCTGGAGCCACAGCGTTGGCCTTTGGGAGCACTCAGTCCCATTCCCACAGGACCCACAACTGAACTGAGTGTGCCTGTGCAGAGGGTTTCCTTTAGGGGCATTCCCTCAGACTGTCCCTACTCCGTCTACCTTCCACTTTCAGGCTGAGTGCCCTGTTGCCTGCGAAGCGTGTGTGGCTGTCTGTGGCTATCTATGGCATGTATGCAGACAATCCTGGGCATGAGGGTATGTGAAGCACTGGGTGACCTGGTTTCTAATCCCTCCCAGTCTCTGTCCCCAGAACCATTATTTTGTCTTGTTTTTTAAGTAGTTCAGGCTGGCTTTGAACCCACTGTGTTACCCAGGCTGGCCTCCACCTCACGGTGATCCTCTTGCCTCGGCCTCCTGAGTAGAGATGACAGGAATACATCACCACACCCAGCTCCCACAGCCGTTCTGTTCTCCACTTGGAGTCCTCCTTCTACCCTCCTAGCTCTCCTCCTGTTTACACAGGTCAAGGTCAGGCATGAGCCACCAAAATAATTTCTCAGGACTGGGCAGGCCTGGCTCACTTGGGAGATAGATCTGGCTTGTTTGAATTTTTCCTTTAGTTTCAAAGCTCTTGCCTTTCAAAGGTCATAGGCTGTGGGTAAGGGAGACTGATCCAGGGTCAGTGGGAGGATTCAAACCCCAAAAGCCTGGGTCCAGTCTGGTGCAGTTAAGCTCCTCCCTGCTCTGCCCGTTAGGATTTTAGCTGGGATCACAGTTCAGAATGACCCATATTAAAGACTGCCATCGACGCCTTCCTCATAAACTCAAGGGCCAGAATCCGGTCCCTGGTACCAAAAAAAAAAAAAAGAAGACTGTAGTGTACTCTGTCCCAACAGGCAAGATTGCAAATACCTTTGCTTCCATCTTTTTGTGACACAAGTGAAGGGACTGGGCCTAAAAAGGGTTCCTAAAACCCTTAGGCAGGGTTCTGGACTGGCCATCTTTTGGGAAACCCTAACTCCCATACCCCTCTCTATACCGCTGTTCCCAGTCACTGGATGTTTAATCAAAGAGACATTAGCTGATAACAGTTGTAGAAAATGCTTCAGACAAGGCATGGATTAAAATCCTGGTTTTGTGAGCCAGGCATGGTGGCGTATGCCTATAGACCCAGCATTTGGCAGGCTGAGTCAGGAGGATCGCTGGCAGGTTTGAGGCCAGCCTGGACTACAATAGTGAGTTCAAGGCCAGCCTGAGCTACATACTCAAAAAATAAAAAAATTAATAAATATAAAAGTCCTAGTTTTGCTACTTTGTTTTTGTTTTGTTTTGCTTTTTTGAGACAGGGTCTCACTATGTAGTCGAGACTCCTCTGGAACTCACTGTTGCCCAGGCTGGTCTTGAACACACAGCAATCCTCCTGCCTCAGCCTCCTGAGTGCTGGGACTACAGGCATGTGCCACCAAGGCTGGCTTAGTTTTGCTACTTTGTAAGCTGGGGCCAATGGCCATACCTGAGGATTAAGTAAATAAATGCACAGGAAACCATTGGCACAGTGCCCTTTTCATAGTAAGTGTTCAGAAAGGCACTGGCTACCATTGTTATTGGTACCTACTTAGAACCAGGTTTCAGGCCCAAAGCAGGTGGGAAACCCTAGGGTTTCCTCTAGGATTTTCACGGATGGAGGTAGTGAGTGGATAGGAAAATAGATGAGCAAATGAAAGCCATTTCCAGGGCTGGGGGTGATGATAGGGTCTCGCTCTACAATTCAGGCTGGCCTTCAACTCACTGTGTAGCTCAGGCTGGCCTTGAACTCATGGCGATCCTCCTGCCTCAGTCTCCTGGGTGCTGGAATTACTGGCGTCTGCCACCATCCTTGGCCTGCCTAGTATTTGTGCAGCCCTGGGTTCAGATCCTTAGCAGCAGAAAAAAAGCTATTTCTATCAATGTGGTCCCTGTGGCCATAGTAGAAGACAGATGAGGGGCTCAAAATCAGATCACAGTACAGGAGTGCAGTGCACGTACTTCAAAGAGGCACCTAGCAAAGCGGGCTTCAGAGGCTGTGTGAGTTTTGACATCTGTCCTAAGCAAGTACCTTTTTTTGATTGGCAGAGGCCAGAAGTGGCCTTGTAGGTGTGTCCTAAACTCAGGCTAGAGTGACAAAGAAGGTTCCAGTGGAGGTTGTGGTACCTGTGCTGGTCCTCAGTAGGAGCTCATGAGGTAAGCCAGACCAAAGCCCTTCTAAGAGCCTGGGGCAGGGTGGCTCAGTGGCAGAGAGCAGGCCCGGCATGTGGAAGGATCTGGATTCCATCCCCAGCAATGAAGTCCTGAAAACCCAAGGAGGGTTTAGCTGTCTGAAGGAGCCAGTGAGGCCCAGGGACTATATACAGGGAGCGGTGGGCTGGCTAGGGGAGAGGGAAGAGGACCCAGTAGGACAGGAGACTGAGCTGATCCTTGGGCTCTGAGGAGTCACCACAGGACATGAAGCGCATGAGCCCCAGGTCAGACCTGTACAGAAAGATCAAGAGGATGGCAAATCTCCTCAGGGGTAGGAATCAGCTTCAGTGCTAATCTTACTTCAGTTTCCTCATCTAAAAAATAGGGATGATATAAGCAGTAATGAGACAATGTACTTAAGTGTTTAACATAATGCCCTGCTCAGGGTAAAGGCTTCATAAATGACAGGCATGAATATTATCAGCAGGATTCTAGAGAGCATAATCAGAGGTAGGTGTGATAGTTTAATGCCTGTAGACCCAGCACTCTGGGAGGCTGAGGCAGGGCCACAAGTTCGAACAACTTAGTGACTTGGTGAGACTGTTTCAAAAGAAAAAGAAAAAAGAAAGGGCTGAGGATGTAAGACAGTGTAAAGGCCTTGAGTTCAATCCCCAATACCGGAAACAAAAAAGCACAATCAGCCTGGGGGTAGCTCCATGACAGAGTGCTTGTCTAACATGCTAAGGCCCTGTGTTTGATTCCAGGTGCAGAAAAAAGACAAGGACAGAACCACATACAATTCCTCCCTAGAAAACAGGATAGGAGGGTAAAGGGGCTTTACCTCAAAAATGCTGGAGACTTAATTTTTTTTTTTTTTTTTTTTTTGGTATTGGGGATCAAACTCAGGACTTTGTACTTGCCAGGCAGGTGGTGGAACCACTGAGCTAAATCCCCAGCCCAAGACTTACTTGTTTAGTTGAAAGCTGATTGATTGGTTGAAAGAACTCAACAGCAAATTTAATAACAAAATGGGTGTGGTGACACACACCTGTGACTCCAGCACTTGGGAGGCAAGAGGATCTTGAATTGAGGCCAGCCTGGACTACATAGTGAGATCTTGTCTCCAACAAAGTTTAGTAACAATGTGAGGCAAGTATTCCTTTTTGGAGGTGGGGCAGCAATAGTGAGTGACTTCCTGTTTTTCTCTCTTTGAGACAGGGTCTTGCTATGTAGCTCAAACTGGCCTTGAACTTACTATGTAGCCCAGGTTGACCTCAAACTCTTGGTGATCCTCCTACCTCAGCCTTCTAAGTGCTGGTACTACAAGTGTGTGCCAACATGCCAGGCTCCATGAGTCCAATTCTTTTTTTTTTTTGGTACCAAGGATAGAACTCAGGCCCTTGGGCCCTTGTACTTTCAAGGCAGGTGGCAAAACAACTAAGCCAAATCCCTGGCCCTTGGTGTGGCCAATTCTGTCTCTTTCTTCTCTGCTCCCCCCAGGGGTTAGACAGGTGAGGACCTGAGTGTCTGCCAATTCTCATTCAGTTTTGCGATGCTGAGAATCTAATGCATGGCCACATTCATGCTAGACAATTGCTCTATCTCTAAACTGCCCGCTTAACTTCCAAGATTCACCTTATATTTCCCACCCCCATGCCCACGCTCAGAAAGTGCCTTACTGCTGAGCTATATCCCCAGTCTAGGATCCACTCTCTGAATTGGGCCAGAAAGTTGTTACTACCTCTTCCCAAGGAAGTCACCACTACTGAGAGTACCTGGGCTTCTTCCACTGCTGCCAGCAGGCACTTGGCCTTTGCCCTCCTGAGTTTGGGTGTGGGGATGAGGGTAGAAGTCTCAAAATAAGGGTTTAATTAATAGTAAGCAGTTTCCTATGGTTGGGCTGCTCTCCACTCTTTTTCACAGATTCCAGCATAAACCTTTTTTTTTTTTTGAGACAGGTTCTCACTATGTAGCCCAGGCTGGTCTTGAACTCACAGTGATCCTCCTGCCTCAGCCTCCCAAGTGCTGGGATTAAAGGCGTGCGCCACCACACCCGGCTAGCATAGACCTTTTTTGGGGGTGTGCAGTTTTTTTTTCCTTCCCTCCATACTGGGGACTGAACCCCGGACCTCTCTTTTTTGGGGGAGGGGTACCAGGGATCAAACTGGGGCTCTTGTGCCTGCAAGGCAGGCACCCAGGACCTCTCAAGCTACATCCTCAGCCCTTTTTGTTTTCTTAGAACTGGGGATTGAACTCAGGACTTGCACTTGACAGACACACACAGTGCCACTGAACTACATTTTTAGCCAGTCCTTATTTATTTATTTTTGGCACTGGGGATTGAAAAACCACTGGGCTAAATCCCCAGCTTTTATTTTTAATCTTGAGTCAAGGCCCTGTTGTACTGCTTAGGCTGCGCTCAAACTTGTGATCCCCTTGCTTCAGCCTCCCAGAATTCTAGGATTACAGGTATGGGACATCATGCGGAATGTCCTTCAATTTTTGTTTTGAGACAGGGTCTTGTTCTGTAGTGCAGGCTGGCTTTGAACACATTATGTAGTCCAGACCGGCCTCAAATGCACAAGGATCCTCCTGCCTCAGCCTCTCGAATTATGGGATTACAGATGTGCACCATCATGCCCAGCTAGAATGAGCTTCTTCTTCATTTTTTTTGTTTTTTGTTTTTTTTGAGACAGGATCTCACTATGTAGTTGAGACTGACCTGGAACTCACTATGTAGCCCAGGCTAGTCTTGAACTCACAGTGATCCTTCTGTCTCAGCCTCCGGAGTGCTGGGATTACACATGTGCCACCACGCCTGGCTTAGAATGACCATCTTTAAGAAACTTAGATGTATGGCTGGGTGTGGTGGCACACACCTGTAGTCTCAGCACTTGGGAGACTAAGGCAGGAGGATTTCTAAGAGTTCAAAGCTAGCCAGAGCTACACAGGGAGACCATGTCTCAAAAAAACAAAACAAAAACACCAAAAAGCTTAGATATGAACTTCTGGGAATGTTCACTGTCTTTTAACTGCTTCTATAGCAAGCACCTTACTTTTATTTATATGGTATGGTGCAGCCTTAAAGAAGCCTGCTGCCAGATATTACATGCCTGTAATCCCAACACTCAGGAGGCCGAGGCAGGAAGATTGCTGGGTTCTGGGACTACCCTGGGTTACTTAGTGAGTTGAAGACCAACTTGGAATACATAGTGAGACCCTATCTGGGGGAAAAAACAAAGAAAAGAAAGAAAACTGCTGGAGAGGGGCTAACTACCTCTGTAAGGGAACCAGTATAGCAGGTAAGGGAGGATAAGAGCACTTTAGCATTCTGGCAAGGAAGGGGTTGAGGAGGTATGTGCAGTGTCTGGAAGGCGTCACTCCTTGTAGCCTGGGGTGGCAGGAGTTGGGGAGAAACAGCACCACTCCCAGCCCTGGAAGGTTAGGGCCCTAAAGTCCATATAGAGAAAGCTTCAAGGGGGCGGGGAATTTAGTTCAGTGGTATCACACCTGCCTCACAAACACAAGGTCCACAGCTTGATCCTCAGTACCAAAAAATAAAACAAAAAATCAAAATTAGAAGGCTTCAGGGTAGTAACTGCTGGTCCCCAAAGACTCAGGCCCCATGGCCCTGGCCCTGCCTGGGTGATAGCCAGGCTGCACAGGAGGAGAGGAAGCAGCAAGGTGGGAGAGGGCTTTTCTCTCCCAGAGAGGCCTGGATGTGGGATGTGGAGGTCTCAGCAGTTAACTAACTCCCTACTATCTGCGCCCCGAATGATCTCCATCTCTCACTTAACGTTTAACCTGGGGCTGATTTCCCTCCCTTTTGAGACAGGGTCTCACTAGGGAGTTCAGGCTATCCTTGAACTCACTGTGTACCCAGGCTGGCCTCAAATTGGCAGCAATCCTCCTGCCTCAGGCTCCAGAGAGCATGGATTACAAGGGTGCACCACCACACCGCACCCGGCGTCAGCTTCTTAACTGCACTGTCCCTCACTCTTCTCCAGCTAGAGTCGGGGCTGTTTTCTCAGCATGGCCTAACTTTCAGCCTGCAGTACAAGTCTGCCCCCATGAATTGCCTTGCAAAGAAATGGAGAAGTTCCACTTTGGGATTTTCCAGTTTGAAGTCTTTGGCCTGGGGCTGTCTATGGGTCCCTGGAAGAAGACATCTCCAGCTGGAGGATTAACTCAGGCTGGGCAGATGGAGGGGCACTGAGGTAGTAAGGGCAGGGCTAAACTGGGCACCTACTGTGGCATGGATGAGCTTTCGGTCTTTGTTTTGGTACCAGGGATCAAACTCAGATCCTGTGCTTGAAAGGCAGGCGGCAGAACACTGAGCTAGGTCCGCAGTCCCTTTCGTCTCTTTAAACCTCATCTTTTCAGAGCTGCTGCGTTTCAGGCAGTTTTTAGGCTTCAGGTTTGCAGGCCATGGTCCTAGGGCTCCACAATGTAGTAGACCCAGGGATTGGGCTGGAATTTTCCCAGTCGGTCTCCTCACCTGTGGATTGGGGAACAGGAATCATCTTCGTCCCTTTTCTCAGAGTAGACCCACGGAGTCCGGGAAGGGTTGGGTCTTTGGACAAACACCTAGGCCTGACACGCACCTGAGCTGGGGTCGGGCGTTGCGGGCAAACCCTCCTTCGAGGTCCTTGCAACTTCTTGCCCTGTTGAATAGAGGACATAGGGAGGGCGGATTTTCCCGGAAGGTGCATGTCCAAGCTCAGGTCAGGCACCTCTCACTAGGGGCGCGGGGAGCGGGGGCGGCCCGGTGTTATCCTCTTTCATTTTTCTTGTAAAGTTGCGCGGAAGCAAAAAAAAAAAAAAAAAGGGGGA